ATTGATTGTTGCATCCAACTTAGTGAGCTTACATATATATCATATTGTGTGTGTGTAACTGGTCAGTAGAGTGATGACTAACCCAAAAAAAAACTATTTACTATTCAATAGCCCGTCAAACCAACGGCACTATCTCAAAACTAATGGATTATTGCTAGTATAAGGTATAACGTTATGATCATACCATACTGAATTTTGAGGTTCAAACTAAATCGACGCATATGCTCAAAGTACATTTTTGAGAATCTAGGGTTTTAATAAATTTATTAATTGTGTTATACATGATATTTTATATAGTAATAGCAATTCAATATGTAGAGTAATGTTGGGTATTTACCATGGTGATTATTCTCAATTCTTTTCTACCATGATGATAATATAATGGGTTCCGAATCTAAATCATTTTTTTGGTGCCATCACTATACTGACATATATAAAATCAATACTTGGCCATACCTTTGATAATTGGTTATGAAAACTTGGTCGGTTTAATTGGTCAACTTCAATTCATCAATTTCGTCACATTTCGTCAGTTTGTCAATTTCGTTCGTCAGATGTGACGAAATTAGTACAGTAATTCCCCGCCCTGCAAAGTATTTTGCCAACCATTCTTAGAACAGATAATAAAAAGAAATCAAATCTATACCATATAAGGATACCGGCTGCAACTTTTGATGATAGTTGCTACCACCTTTGCGTCATATAAAAATGATTGCAACCGCCTTTACAACCATTTTGTTTCCTTTTTTGGATTGCGACATGGAACACTAATACCATATACATTGATAAAATTTAACCAATTTTCATTTTATGATTTCTTTTAAGAACCAAAAATTTATATTGAATAAAGTTTAACTTAAAATTAAAAATAAAATTATAATTATTTAAATCTTAGAGTTATGTTGTTGAAGATTTTGAAAAGTAACATCTTTGATATAAGATAAAATAAAAAAAGATCTTAAAATTTATATTTTATAATTTAATGTGGAAACCAAGTTGTGAATTGATAAGTTTTATTGACTTTTTCACCAGATGGGAGAATTAACTCATGAGTAATTATTTTAGAACTTGTGGAATTGGGTATAAAAGTCTGATTATTATTGTCATTAATTGTAATTAACTGGTCATTCTGAACATTATCATTATCACTATCATTATTTTTCAAAATTTTAATATTATTATCATCAATGATGTCTTTATGACTAGTATCTACTACAGCTTCAGTATTACTATCACTATTGGTATATTTGTAGCTATTATCATTGTTTGAAATGATTTCAATATTACTAGTAAATTCATTTTCATTTTCATTATGAGTTTGTTGATTTAATTCTCTGTCTTTTTCATCATCACTAACAACAACATTATTAACCATTTCATTGGATTTCTTTTTTCTTCTATAAAAAATAATAATAGAAATAAAAACAATGATGAAGATTGCACCAGATGTAACTGATCCAATAATTATACCAGTAGTTTGTGCATTGGTGGTTGTTGTATCTGTTGAAGGATTAGGATCAAATGTGTCAAGCCATCTATAATTATATTTGTCACTAATATTTAACAATAAAATATTTTCATAACCCATAACATCAGCAAACCAACCTATTATTATTATTGAATATAAATAAAATTAATATAAATAATAATATACTTATGTATGAATTTCAAAGATTATTATCATAAGTTACCAAATGAGATTATCATGTAATCTTTATATAAATTTGAAGTATGTCCCCAATGAACTTTATTAATTAGATTAACAGGATAATTAGTAACATTTGTTGGAACTGTCCATTGGAAAGGAGATTTTGTTACATCCAATATTGCTATTTTTTCTGGATATGAAGTACCACCATACATGATTATCCTTCCATCAGATGCTAAAATAAATAAATAGTATATATAAGTTAAAAACATATATTTATTAAATAATTAATAATAAAATTAATTAAGTTACTTAATACTGAAGAATATCCAAATCGTCTAGAAGGTATATCACCAGTTGTTGTCTAATGTAACAAAGTATTTATTAATATCTTTTTAGTTGAAATATTGTTACTGATGATTATATAGCTTACAATATTAGACCATGAATTTTGATTAATATTATACAAGTATATCTAAATATAATATTATATAATATTCTTATTAGAAAATATAACATTCTCATCCTTTGATTTAATTAAATAATAAAAGAATAAATTATAATATTACTTGAGTTTCAAAAAGATCAAGATAAATTATATTTTCATCATTCAATGCAAGACAATTGAAGGTATTTATGCTTGTTATATCTGGAACACTATTACTTGCTAAGGTTGTAAATATCAAACTTTTGGAATTGAATTTATATATATTTGGATAATAAGGAGTGATTATATATGTGTTTCCATTATTATCTTGTGTATACTTTGTTCTTCCAACTTTATTTAATTGTAATTGTCCATTTAAGGTTTCTGGAGTCCATGTATCAAATGTATTTGTATTTATTGAATAAACTATAGACCCAGGTGCTGCTATTTCACCTCTATATCCAGCTATAACATAAAGTGTGTCATTAATAGTTCCTCCTAATGCTAATGATGCATCATAAAATGGAGGTATTGCTGAGTTTGTAACAATTAGTTTTATTGGTAATGTTTGCTCAAGTGAAAATGATGTGGATAAATCCAGGTAAATTATTTGGTTTGTAAGTCCTGAACCATAAGAAAGTCCTCCAAAATAATAGAGTTTATCATTTAACACTATTGAACTTTGAAAGTGTATATCTAATAATTGGCCAGAAACCAAAAAATTGAAACTATTCAATAAAAATAAATTGAAAATTATTAATAAATTTAATGGTTTTAAATAGTTGCAATGACAACAATTCATTAAATTATCCATTTTTTTTGTTTTTTAAAAGAACGATAGTATTAACCTGCTTTTATTGTGTTGCTTACAAAATGAATATTCTATATATGGTTATACATCTATAAATAATCCAAACAAAAAGGTTTTATGATCATTTGGCTTTAAAGTTTATAGGACAAAATTTTTATACCACATACTTTTGTAGGTCAATACCTAAGTAGTTTTAGCACCTAATTCGGATATTTTTCTTTCCCATAATAATAATAATAAAAAAAAGTTTTTTCTAAATGGTTAATGATTGGCATAAAATTGCTTTAAATTGTGTTTTTCATAGAATATTATTCTTATTAGAACATTAGAACGCAAAACGAGCCTTTTGTTTTTACAAATTACACAATACCACGCATGTTAAACCACTCAAGATCAAAAATTTATTGAGTTTGAATTGCGCCTTTGTTGTAAAGAGCAAAATAGTCACATCACTTGGATCAAAGGCAATAGTCTATTTCATTAAATTCGAAACATATAAATAGGACAGTCGTTCCCACATTTTTTTCGCAACATCAACAACGTAGAGATATTTCTCTCAGGCTATTTGGTATAAAGAACTTACTCAACCTTCTATATTCGGCCACAACGCTTCTGTCATTCAGGCAATTAAGATACCAAATGAGTGTATACGCTATATGAGCACATTCAAACTACTATTATAGTGATACAAAATAAATAAATCAAAGTCGATCAATTTAAAAATTTTTTTATCTATCTCAATAAACCCCCTTTGACTCAGACTCCTGTATTCAGAAAGAAGAGTTTTGTCCACCTTTAAAATCGAAGTACAGTATATTTATTCGTTTCGGCACGTTGAAAGCGTGAGATCCTAAATAGATCGCAGTGGACAAACCTCAGAATTTGAAGATCTGGTGTCAAACAAAAATTTATGAATATTAAATTAAATTAAGTCAAATATTTTTGTAACAATTCAAATTTAATTTTTTTGTTTGTAGGCAATGGTAGTCGATTAATCTCAAGCACATCTTTTTATACAACTTCTTTTTTAGACCTATTCGGAAAACAAAGGAGAGGATTGACATGACGGACGATTGATTCCTATGCATTATTGATTGTTTTTATATAGTGCAAATATTTCAGTCAATATATTAACTTCATGCATCAACTTTGGACAAGGATAGTGACGAGAAAATTGCTGGTATTATGTAATTACCGTATCAGCCGATTTGTTTTTTGAGCCCTTCTTTCAATCCTACACACATGTAAACTCGATAGGTCGGTCATTTATTTATTTTAAACAATTGATTGTTGCATCCAACTTAGTGAGCTTACATGTATATCTTATTGTGTGTGTGGAACTGGTCAGTAGAGTGATGACCAACCAAAAAAAACTATTTTACAATTCAATAGCCCGTCAAACCAACAGCACTATCTCAAAACTAATGAATTTATTGCTAGTATAAGGTATTCATACCATACTGAATTTTGAGGTTCAAACAAAATCGACGCATATGCTCAAAGTACATTTTTTGAGAACCTAGGGTTTAAATAATTTTATTGATTGTGTTATACATGGCATTTTATATAGCAATTCAATATGTAGAATAAAATTGGGTATTTACCATGGTGATTATTCTCAATTCTTTTTTATCATGATGATAAGACAAAGGGTTCCGAATCTAAATCGTTTTTTTTGATGACACCACTATACTGACATATATAAAATCAATATTTGTTCATACCTTTGATCATTGGTTATGAAAACTTGGTCGGTTTAATTGGTCAACTTCAATTTCATCAATTTCGTCACATTTTGTCAATTTCGTCAATTCGTCACATTTCGTCAAATGTGACGAAATTAATATTAACAAACCAATTCCCCCGCCCTGCAAAGTATTTTGCCAACCATTCTTAGAACAGATAATAAAAAGAAATCAAATCTATACCATATACATGGAAATTATTACA